GGAAGGAAGGAAGGAAGGAAGAAAGAAAGAAAGAAAGAAAGAAAGAAAGGCAAAAAGTCCCAGCTGTCCATATTGAAGGTTCTATTTTGTTTGTTTGTTTGTTTTACTGCAGTGGCAGCACAACTGAAGGGCTATGATGATGATGATGATAAGATCATTGGAGGCTATGACTGCCCAGCCCACTCCCAGCCCTGGCAAGTCTACTTAACATATGGGGATGGCAACCGGTGGTGTGGCGGCTCCCTCATCAATGACCAGTGGATCATCTCGGCAGCCCATTGCTACAAACCGTGCGTACAGTAACATATAGTTTGGGTGCAATACAATTGTTGAAAAGTAACTTTCCCTATAACTTGTAAGCAATGAATTACAAGCAGTGCAGTTACCTGAAACTAGTTACTTTGGGGAGTATATTAGGACCCTCTTATCTGCAGGGAATCAATTCCAAGTCCCCCACAGATGATGAAAAATGTGGATTATAGTGAACACTGTTTTAATAGTGAATGCTATACCTTGCATAGACTCTGGCTCCCTCTAGTGGCCAGTTCTGCTAATGTCCTCTTTAGAAATATATTTTTCTAGGTTTTTTTCTTTCAAGATTTTCAGACCATGAATAAGTGAATCCGTGGATACTGATTCCGCAGATAAGGGGATCCTTCTGTAACAGGTTTAAAATGTAAGATAAATGTAACGTAAAGAGGAAGAACAAAGTTATTTGACTGGTGCAACACCCAATGCCTTCTAAATCCTTTTTAAAAACTATTTTTAAAAGCTGTTTTCAGGCATATTTTGAGGTGTTCATGAGGAACTTGTGAAGTTCTATGTTGTTTTGTTACAATTCATAAGCAGCAAGGAATATATTATATTTGCTTTTTTATTTTAAGATGCAATGTCAGAATCGGCCACTAGAGGGAACCAGGAATTATTTCCCAGTTTTCTCCTAGTGTGCTGGTTAGCACAATGTCATATATTACTAATGTGCAAGACTGTACACTGGTAACAACCCAAAGAGCCACTTTTTAGAAAGTAGCTTATAAGTTCTAGGTTTCAACCTTTTCAAAATTTGGTTCACATCACTGCTTTTCTGCCTACAGTCCTAGTACTCTTGTGGCACACCTTGGTGAGCAGGATACCACCAGGGACGAAGGCACAGAGCAGCATATCCAGGTGGAAAAAGCCATCCGGTATCCCAAGTACAACGCCCGCACTACCGACAACGATATCATGCTGATCAAGCTCTCTGTGCCAGCCCAGTTCAACAATTTCGTCCAGCCCGTGCCAATTTCTCCAAACTGCCCAGTAACTGGGGCCAACTGTCTTGTCTCAGGATGGGGGAACCTGCTGACATCGGGAGGTAAGTTGTGGCTTCATGATGTCCTTGCCATCTTCTCCTCTCGTAGGAAGCAGGGCGTTTTGGGTTTGTTTGTTTACCTATTAATGATTCCACCAATATTTACGGTAGGACCCTTGCATCCATGGGATTTAGTATCCACAGTTTCACTTATCCACAGTCAGAAAATATTAAACATATTAAAAGAGGAGAAAAGTCAGAAACACACATGTCCATGATGTAATTACCAGAACTGATGACTAGAGGGAGCCAGATCCTCTGCTATATACAGAGTTTGTTATTACTGTATTTACAGTTTTCAGCATCCATGGAAAGCTTAGAACGGATACCACCCCACCCCCAGGATAGGGAGACCTACTGTATTTTATTATTTATATCCCACTTTTCCTCCAGGATGCTCAAAGTGACTTCTGTCACTCTCCTAATTTCAACGTCATCCTCACAAGAGCCCAGGTGAGGTTGGTCAGGCTAACAGAGAAAATGTCTGGTCAACTTCTTGTTTTCATGATCTACATTAGCAGTGCCTCAAATGTTGAATGCACCCAGAGGTCTCGAACATTGAATGAACACAGAACCTTCTCAGAAGTGTCGATGAAAGTTAACCTTTCTAATCTCTTGAGAGCCTGTCCGATGGTATTTTGTAGGAGGCAGGAAAAGGATTTGCTTCTCATGTGTGTCTCTGGCGAAGTCCTGGTGAATTCTGGAAGAATGAGGACCTGGATACCCATGATCTGCTTGTGAGGAAGAAAGAGGTAGCAGCTGGAAAGAGCTAAACTTCTTGGGAGATGCAAGAGATTAGGGGACTGGTAGGCTCTGTACAGGGTGCCTCTAAAAAGACCTACCAGTCCCCAAATCCCTTGCATCTCCCAAGGAGACCTCTGCCTAGCAGAGAAGCAGGAGGGATAGATATCCATCTGTTGATTTTGTTGATGCTATGTGTCATCAGGTTGCCTCCGATGTATGGTGACCCTTATGAGTGAGCACTGTCGAAGATACCCTGCCCTCAACAGCCCTGCTCTGCTCTTGCAAAATCCGTTGATCTACCACATAATTTTTTCATTCTCCCTGAATGTATTGATGCCATACGAGCTTTACACTGCTTTTCTTCCTTCCTTCCAGTTGAGTACCCCAATGTCCTGCAGTGTCTGAACGTGCCCATTATCTCGCCTTCTGCCTGTCAGACCTCTTATCCTGGCCGCATCACTTCTAACATGTTCTGTGCCGGCTACTTAGAAGGAGGCAAAGACTCCTGTCAGGTAATGGAGAGAAAAGGTGGGAGGGTGGGTGGAAAGAGAGAGAGAGAAAAGAAGGTCTGTTCTTAGCCAACGCCTATTCAACAGGATGAGGTCAAAGAGTGAATTGTCCCATTTCCGGTAGCATGTGCAGAATCCCTGTTGAAAAACACGCATGTGGAGCACTGGTATAACAAGGGCACACACACACACACACCCCGCAGGCTAAAAGCTAGCAGTGCTAGTTGAACCTGCTCCCTGCAGTGCTAGCTTTCTGGCTGCAAGGAATGTATGCCCCCCTCCCATCATAATCCTATGTGATGAGGAAAAGAATAGATTTGGTACATCTGATCGGTTCCTGAATTTTACCGTTGACAGTGAAATTTCGCTGATTCCCTTTCTTCATTGCAGGGAGACTCTGGTGGACCGCTGGTGTGTGACGGACAACTGACCGGCGTCGTGTCCTGGGGTGCTGGATGTGCAGAGAGAAACTATCCCGGCGTGTACACCACTGTGTGCAATTACAGATCCTGGATCGAAGAAGTGATTGCAAACAACTGAGATGATTTCCCTTCTTCCAAAGGATGTGGTTAACTCTGGCGGTTTTCCTTGCAACAACAACCCCCCCCGAAAAAACACCCTGTTTTGCTTAAAATAACATACAAACACAGATGCAGCCCAGACTTAAACTAGGTCCAGAATACTCATTCCTTCACTCCAGAGAATCTTGAGAAAGATAGCTTCATGTGGGAGAGGCTGGAGATTCTTAGCACAAAACTACATTTCCCATGAGTTTGCCATGCAGGGGATGAGAGGAGGAATTTACATGATGCTCTTCTGTTAAAAATAAAGTATTTGTACCAACCCCTCCCCAAACTGTGTGAGATGTATTTGTTGTTTCAAAAAATAGAATAGCATAGAGTAGACCTTTGGTCTAGATGGGCGGGATAGAAATCCAATCAATCAATCAATCAATCAATCAATCAATCAATCAATCAATCAATCAATCAATCAATCAATCAATACTGATAGCCGTGTATCTAGCTGTGTATCTATTTATTGGAGAAAATCTGTTTGGTGTAGTTACACTGGCATAAACTGGATCCTGGCCCTGGAAATAATTAACTGAAATTAATTAAAAGCACTGTATCTCCCATTTCACGTTCTGAGGCTCCTTGGGGCTCCCTTTGGCCACAGGAAAGCCTTTGGGAGCCTTCCGTTGGAGGGGTGGGGAGGCTTTTTAAAAAAAAGTACATAAAGACTCTAGTGGTAATAGAAAATTGTTGCTTCTCTGTGTTCTGACCCTCTTTTTATTTAAAAAAAAAATGTCTATAAAGACTCTAGTGGTAATAGAAAATTATTGCTTCTCTGTGTTCTGACCCTCTTTTTACAACACTGGGGGATTTTTTTTCATTCTTCTAGAAAGGGCAGAAACATCGCGGAACTCAAAGTTATATAACAGTTTTCGCCAAATGTTCTGGATGGAAAACATCATTTTCATTCTTCTAGAAAGGGTAGAAACATCGCAGAACCCAAGGTTATATAGGACCGTTTTTGCCAAGCGTTCTGGATGGAAAACATCTTCACGAAGTGCCTCAAAGTTTCAGAGCATTCTGTACGGATGACGCTTCCATCTCATCTTTTTCCCCCCCCAGTGAGCCCGAGATGGCCTATCTAGCTTTTGTTTCTCCTTCCCATTGGGTCTTCAGAAGAACAACCCTAGGAAGGGCTGACCCCCTGGCCAACCAGTAAGTCCCATCGCCCACGGGGAGGGTTGAACTTCAATCTCCAAGCCGTCCAGGTTCTGCACCCCAGTTGGCCCCTTGCTAAAACAAAGGGGACCTTGGCTAAACAATTACAGATGGCACAGGGAACCAGAACCAGCCCTACAAAGGGGGCAGGTGTGTCCTTTGTATTGCTTGACATGGAACAACAGGAAGCAGCTGCCTTAAGTAACAAGAAGCAAGCGAGTCTCAAGTAAGCCATCCAAGGCACACAGGGCCCCAAGGAATAGAAACTCCACATGGTTTATCACTTGGAAGTGAGACTAGACAGTTCTGGTGACCCAGAACTGGACAGATTGAGAAATCTGCCCAGCAGACGGCTGGGTCTCATCCAGGCATGGTAGAGGAGCAAAACCTTCTCGAACTGAAGAGGACATACAGATGTGGCTTCTTCTGACCACAACAGGAAATGACCAGTAAGGTGATTCCTGTAAAGGCGAAGCAAGTTAGGGTGTTTTGTAACTACCTTGCAATTTTTGCTAGTGTGGAAATCCATATTTTCTGTTTCCTTCCCCTCCCCCCAGTCCACTGGTGGTCAGACAGAAGAAAAGGAGAAAGAAAGAAAGAAAGAAAGAAAGAAAGAAAGAAAGAAAGAAAGAAAGAAAGAAAGAAAGAAAGAAAGAAAGAGAGAAAGGAAGACAGGGAGCGAGATCTTTTTCTCAGGTCATTTTCTGGCACATATTTAGTAACCTCCAAGTTGCCAATGTTCATTCCTCAGCCCTGTTCCTCTGCTCTTGAAAGCAGCTTGATATGCAGATGTTTTAGAACCAGAAATTGAACCTGGAGAATATTCATCACACAACCCTGTTGACCGAGGTTGGAAAAGTTGCTCGTTTTCTTGTATAGTTGTTCTAGTTCTTTGGGAGAAGGATGAGTTGTTCTGGATGGAAAACATCCAGACAGAATCCAAAACTTCTCCTCCAACATCTCCTCCACACGGAAGTTGTCACATCATAACGGAATAATCCACTCCTTGTACATTGCTATGTTCTGTGGCTTGACTATATTCAGGAACGGAGAAATGTTGCTGGCATCGTTTGCATACGGCCCAGTTGTGGAAAAGTCTGGAAAGCTCCCTTCGGAATTTGACCCCTACGAAAGCGTAGGCCAACGGGTTGAGGCAGGAGTGGAGGAGACCCAAGCTTTGTGTGAAGAGTAGACCCAAATCCAGAGTTTTTTCCCGGGCGCAGTCCCGGGCCAGGTGACCCAGACGTTGTAAGCTGTCCACCAGGAGGAAGCCATGGAAGGGCCCCCAGCAAAGAAGGAAGAGGAGCAACATCACCAGAAGGAGGAACAAGGGGGTGTTTTTGCAAGAGATCCCCGCTTGGTGGAGCCGAATCAAGATCCGACAGTAACAGAACGTCATCACCAGCAAGGGCAGAAGGAAACCGAACATGAAGGAGATCAGGCGCAACGCCAGACGCCAAGACTCTGCTTCCTGGGGATGGAAATGTTGGTGACAGATGACCGCCCCAGCTTGGGAGACGTAACTCACTGTCCGGAAATGCAGTTCCACAGCAGACAGACCCACACATACTCCCCACAAGAGAATGGAGGCCAGGCAGATGTGAAGAGGCTTCAAGCAGCGGTGGACCTGCACGGCGCGGATGATCACCAGGTAACGTTCAACGCTGAAGGCGGCCAAGAGGAAGACAGTGCTGTAGCTGTTCATGGTGGAGAGGGCGCCGGCGAGTTTGCAAAGGAATTCTCCAAACACCCAGTTCTGGGCAAACTGGGTGGCCCAAAAAGGGAGTGTAAAGGCCAACAGCAGGTCGGCCACCGCCAACTGGAAAAGGAGGTAGTCGGCGAAGAACCAGGGGCAACGCTGGCTGCTCAAGACCGCCAGGACCAACCCGTTGCCGAGCAAGCCCACCACAAAGCCCACGGAGAAGACCGCTGGGCCAAAATGGCGGGCAAAGGGACTCATCTCGCTCTGCGTGCAGGGCATCGTTTTGGGGTCAATTTCAGGATAGCCGGTGGGAAACTAGGAAGAAGCAAATAAACGTTAGTAGGGGATCCTCAACCTAAGCCTGCCATTATTTTGTCAGAAGAGAATGGAAATTTCTTCTGCACAAATCTACTGGCAGTTTTTCAGATTCAACTCAAAATCCCTGAGTTTTGTGATTTTCAGATGTCGGTTTTGGGAGACTAATACTTGCCTGAAGAGACAGGTCTTTGTCTACTGGCAGAAGGACAGCCAAGAGGGGGCCAGGCTGGCCTCCAGTGGGAGGGAGTTCCAGAGTCTCTGGGAGCAGCCACAAAGAAGGCCCTCTCCTGTATTCCCATTAGACACCCTTGTGAAGATCGAAAGCAGGGTCTCTCAAGATAATCTTAACACCCGGGCAAGGTCATAAAGGGAGAGGCAGTCCTTGAGATAGCTTGGACCCAAGCTGTTTAGGGCTTTATAGGTTAGAACCAGCACTATGAATTGTGCCCGGAAACGGATCGGCAATGGAGTGGCTGTAACGGGGGGGGGGGGGGGGTTATGTGATCTCTGTGACCAGCCCTAGTCAGCAACCTGGCTGCTGCATTTTGGACATAACTCAGCAGATGTAGTAGTAATATAACAAAACCAAATGTCTGGATCATTGGCATTGCAATTCCAAGGGATGCCAAAGCTGAAGATAAAGAATTGGAAAAACTACCGAAATACACTTGAAACATCTCGCTTGTGGATGAAATGCACTTCAGTGGTCCCCACCGTCATTGGGGCTTTGTGAACAATATCAAGGAATTTCACGCCGTAGTCTAAGCAGCTACAGATTTCAGAAACAGCATCATCAGAGCTGCAAAACATGACAATATTGGGAACAGCCTACATACTGTACCGATATTTAACAGATACTTAGGTTTTAGATTAAAACTTGTATCTGTTATATGATACCAGTCAATGTTTTTATTATTTTGATTTATGGTGTTTCCGGATAATAATAGGCACATTACAGACTAGCTAGGAAGGAAGATCCCTGATAAGAATTACATACCTCTGGATAAGAGTAATCCTCTAGCCAAAAAGGGTCGGACATGTTGCTTCGTCTGTAGGTGGTTATCGCTCCTTTGAAAGGTCTGGTTTACTTTGCGCCGTCCTGATCTTTTCCCTGCCACCTCCCTACCCCATGTGAAAGTCAAACAGTTCATCACGCTGGAGCTGACATACCAGCCTTTATCGTGATGAAAGAAAGCAGGGGGGAGCCGGAAAACAAAATACACAACATTACAAAATCATCCCAAATGGAGAAGTAAAACAAAGGCCGCTGTCTGTTTTTTATGACTCCCTCATACCTTGAAAGACAGCCTAATGCTCACCTTTGAAGAGACAGAACTCTATAATCAGCTTGAACACATTTTTGCTAATGTATCCATCACCTCCAGAGCTTGAAAGTAACTAGTTACATTTTGGGTAATTTAACTATTAGCTTAAAAGTTACATGTTAAGTGTAATAAGTAGAAGTAACTAGTTACATTTTGGGTAATGTAACTATTAGTTTAAAAGTTACATGTTAAGTGTAATAAGTATTGCCTAAGTTAATTAAGCATCGTGAGATGCACCTAGTTACTTTGAAAAATGACTGTTCAAGAGCATTTTAAGGCGATTTTGGCATGAATATTTTGGATTTCGACAGGAATATTTGGGGTTTTCTACCACTCTTCTACCAAACCTTAAAGGTAAAGGTTTTTTTGGACTTTGCCTTTTGTTTTTCTAGATATACAGTATTTCAATATGCAATATAAGAAGTGGCCACTAGATGGAAGAACAGAGTTATTTCCCTGTAAGTACAACTCCCACCATGGTTTAACAGTGAATCTCCACGTTTTCCTAAAAAAAAATAGTTCACTTGTCTTAACTATGCAACTCTGGGGCATGGGGCAGTTTCAAAGAGTGAGGCTCTACTGCCTGCTACCTGCATGCTCATTTGAACATATGAAAGAGACGGAGTCTATAGGGGTTCATTTCATTTTATTTTGAACATTTTTATACTTCTTTCTTACAAAAATATATATATCTCAAAATGGTGTGCCAGAAAACCAGACACAATAAAGCCAACCCCTGAAAAGAATAAAACATTAGTAATATAATTAAAAAACAATCAGTTTTTTTAAAAAAGCCGAGGTAAATGTTAAAGTTATAGTTAGGAAAATAATTTTAAAAATTATAAGAAAATTAAAGGCAAGCAACCCCTCAAACTGGCATCGGTCTGTTGTCCCTGGATTCCTCATTCCACAACAGCTTCTGGCTAATTCAATGGTCCTAGTCTTGTTTCCATTACTCCTGGATTTCACCCCGTTTTCGACAGCACTGTTCTTAGTCTTTAGCACGTTGGTCTCTGGTGCTCCTGACAAGGCCTACAAGCTGGTGGAAAGACTTTATTTTCTCCCTACAGCTAAGAAGTCTTTTATTTGTGATTTTTCTACCCTACTCAGGGTAAATACTGTAACTGATTGCATTAGAGGTGTGATTGAAAAACAGTGTCAATGCAACCAGCCCTTCACCCAGGGTAAATAACTGATTGCATTAGAGGTGTGACTGAAAAACAGTGTCAATGCAACCAGCCCTTTCTGAAGTATGACTAAAATAATTTCAGGCCATGAAGTCGATTCCCAGAGCCTTTCTCTTTATCCATTACACCCGATTAAATAATTTCAGGCCATGAAGTCGATTCCAACTGAAGGCAACTCTTTCCAGGATGGATCGACCAGTTCCACCCCTGATTCCATGTGTTTCCATGGCCAAGGCGGAATTCGAACCCAGAGCCTTTCTCTTTATCCATTACACCATGTTGGCTACCTTTCAGGAGTGCTTTATCATCCTCTTTCAAAAGAACTGTGCCATTTGCCCAATACACAGGCTGGTTCCTCTCTTCCAAGACACGATGGAGAACCAAACGCCTAACTTCTGTCACAATGCTGTCCAACCAGCTATGAAGTACTATGAACACAACACCATTTGTTGTACTGTGGGGTTGTGGCGGTCAAGCACCAAAACACTTCTCAAATCAGACAAAAAAAATATGAGAGCAGTGTCATTATACCGGATGAAGATCCCACCTAGCTGAGAGTGCTATTTTGAACAGAGGACAGTCAAAGGCTCTTGACATACATAGATACGAAGACAGCAGTCCTTTACTATGTACTGGGGCATTCAATTCAAAGTTTTTCATTAAAACAATACAACACTGACTTTTTGTGAAAGAATGAATAATCAGTTTTTAAATTTCAGAATATTGACATGTAAAATGTCTCGTGCGTGGACATCAAAACTCTGAAACCAAAATTCGCCATTTCGTGAAAAACCCAGTGGTACATTTCAGGTGGAATATGAAAGGACAGCTTTCTGCCCCAATATTTCCCACCAATGGGAAGCTTCACATGGAAATAGAAGTTTCAAGATTCTTAAACTGCAGTCATCCTCTCCCAATCCACATTTCGAAGTAAATTTTCAGGATCTCGAAAATCCGTTGGTTGAGTCATAGGATGTCATAGAAGTTGTATTGAAGTCGTAGTCCTTGACAGGTTTCATTCAGAATTATCTCGTCCAAAGACCAATGACTGCCGTATTTTTCTGCTTTGAAAAGAAGGTGAAAGACATGTTGGTGCTTCCAATGTGGAAACGATCATATCTGGTAAAGAGATTTTGAAAGAGTTTTCAAATTCAGGAGGTCAACGCCTATAGACAACTCAAAGCTGACAGTGGGGTAGAAGAAAACACATGGACAACAGATAGACTTTGGGTCACTTTTAACTTTCTTTTAAAATGGTTCAATCAATGGTTGAAGGGTGGAATTTTTGGATATTCCTGGAGTCTCACACCCTACCGGTGAGTCCATTAGAGTCCGGAGAAAGTGGTACTTTCGGACCAAGCAGAATCCCTCCGTTGAGTTGAGGGCCTGGCATATCTTCTCAGGAACTCCTGACTCACACAGCCTGATTTTTCAAGCAGGTCCAGGAATTTGTTCCGGAACTTGACGCCGATAAAAGCGTAGAGCAGCGGGTTGAGGCAACAGTGGAAGAAGCCCACAGCAGTGGTGATGACTTTGGCAATGTCTACTTTCTCCTCTCGCTCACAATCCCGTCCAAGGATATCAAGGTCGATCAAGGTGATGATGAACTCGACCAAGTGGTAAGGTGACCAGCAGAGGAAGAAAGCTGCTACGACCGCAAAGATGACTCTGAGGGCCTTGTATTTATGGAAGCCTTTGGACAGCAGGAGGGTGAAGATGATGTGGGTGTAGCAATAGGCCATGACCAAAAACGGGAGAAAGAAAGCTCCTATCTGTTCGAAGAAGCTGAGTGTGATTTTCCAGTATCGGTTGGGAAAGTTGAGGGAGCATGAGGAAATTTTTTGGCGGGAATCAAAATCTGTGGACAAATATATAAAATCTGGTAGGGTGAGGAGAAAGCAGAAGATCCAGAGGGCCAAGGATAAGAGGTGGGTAGCCGATGTCTTGTTCCGCTTGTACATGCGGATGACGTGAACGATAGAGAGGTAACGGTCGAAACTGATGCAGACCAAAAAGAAGATGCTGGCGTAGAAGTTGACCTTAAAGATGCCGCCTAGCAACTTGCACAAGAAATTCCCAATGATCGAGCCGTACAATTCCTGGATCGCCCAGAAGGGGAGAGTCAGAACTAAGAGAATGTCGGCGACAGCAAGGTTTAATATGAAAATGTCCGTCCGTGGGAGGGCTTCTTTGGCACGTAACAAGACGGCGATCACCATCCCGTTTCCCAACAAGCCCAGGAGACAAATCAGGCTGTAGAAGGGAGGCAGGAAGCTCTTTGCAAAGCCCTGAATGGGGTTGACGTTGCAGGGTGGGGCCATGCAACAGAGGTCACTCCCGTTTTCGTAGCTGTAGGAGGTGTTCTCCAAATAATCGATAAGGTCTTCAGGCCGAAAAGTATCTGAATCCTGAAAGAAATCATGAAATAGGTCAGAGTTACATTTACTGAATGCCTCTATGACTCCTCATCGCTGTGTTAAAGGCAAGCACCATGTTCTACCCAGGACGGCCTCAGATGCCTCGCTGCCTCTGCTGAAGGCCTTTCTCTCAGTCCCACCACCTTCACATATTTTATGTTCATTTGCACTGATGCTATTTGATCCTTCATTTACAGCACGGCATCGTGTCTCTGTTTGCTGGTCTTCAATACACACTCGATCAAAAATGTTCATGAAAAACATACCCACACCCTTAATGTGCTTTAGAAAGTAATGTTGTAAAACGCCTGGTGGTATCTAGTTGTTGTGGGACGTGGTGGCGCTGCGGGTTAAACCGCAGAAGCCTCTGTGCCGCAAGGTCAGAACACCAGCTGTCGTAAGATCAAATCCACGCGGCGGAGTGATCTCCCGTCGCTTGTCCCAGCTCCTGCCAACCTAGCTGTTCGAAAGCATGTAAAATGCGAGTAGATAAATAGGGACCACCACGGTGGGAAGGTAATGGTGTTCCGTGTCTAGTCGCGCTGGCCACATGACCACGGAAACTGTCTTTGGACAAACGCTGGCTCTATGGCTTGGAGACAGGGATGAGCACCGCGCCCTAGAGTCGGACTCAATGTCAAGGGGAACCTTTACCTTTACTTATATAGTTGTTACTATGGGACGTTCACAGATTTTTTAAAAATAGTGTTAAGAGAATTAATTTGGAGGCAAGAAGGGAGGAATTAAGTCTACCTTGGGTTTTGAAAAGCAAAGTCTTCTGGAAGTAAATTTCAGATTTCCTCAGGTACATACATACAGACTTCCAATTATTATAATTAGTAGAAGTGTCCTTATTTGGTTGTTTTTAAAATACTAGTCAAATTATCTTGGTTCAATTTTCCATGAACAGAGCCCCATCCAGTGATATGTATAATTTAAAGGACCCATAAATATTTCCATTTCTTTTGTCCATTGCACCCATATATAAAAAAAATTCGAAATTAAATTCACTTTCTCTGGGTTGTTCTAGTAACACATGTAATGTTGCCTTTACAGAAAACACAGTTTAAAGGAAAACCACTCTCGCAGGCGGCTTTTCTCTGCTTTAACCTTCAGAGCTGACAGTATTTTAAAGCCCAGGGCTTCACTTTTTACACACATTTAATTAAGACGAAACCTCACTACGCTGAAAAGACCTTTACCGCCAAAGCACCAGCCCACAAATAAATCGTGACAGGTTTAGACTGTCAAATCTCTGGCATGTAGTTGTTCTTTTCGTTGCATAACAGTATGAGTTGGTTTGGGTTTTTTAGACTTGCAGTGTCTCAAAGTTGTTCGTTTCAACCACAGGGTATAAACGCAACCTTACCCATAAACCCAACATTGTTCTTTTCGAAGGTAGCAGCGTCGGATGAGAGCTGCTATTTGCCCATCTTTATGGGAAATTAAACATTGTTAAATAGCTTTTCCAGGATTTATTTCCTAGCACTGCAAAGATCCCCACCCCACCCCTGCTAAGCAACTACTGTATAGGTCTGCAGCTCTTACATTAGCAGTTTTGAGGTGCATATGCTACAAACCCCCCGGTTTGTCCAGGAGAAACCATATATCTAAATAAATAATGCATTTTAAATGTGAGTCAGGTTGAAAAGTGGCTTCCCAGCTCCAGTATTTTAAATATTCCTCTGGCTTTGGAACTCACCATGATTGGAATTAATCAGATTTCCCTGCAGCCGGAAAGATAGCGATTGAGTTCTTAAGACGACTTGAAGAAACGCTTTGGTCTGGTTAGATGGTTATCTCTTTCGTGCTAGGCAGGAAGTCTGCGAGTCTTATCACATCATGAATGCAGCTTCAGAACTTTTTGCGTTCTGAAGATGATGACGGTCCTATTAGCGCATCTTTTAATCCGAAGCTTCAGCAGGCCCAGCCTTGCAATGGCAGAGAGAAGGGGCCTCTGCCCATGGGCAGAGCGCGTTTTGCTCAGCTTTCAGGGACGACAGCTTCACCCATGTATCTCTGGGGTTTGTGGCTCAACAGAAGTGGAAGCAGGGTGTTGTCTAAGTAAACCTCTCGGCATGAAGCATAGTGGGATGTTCTGTAAGTGGAATCCTTTGTAGACATCAAAGCAGTGAGAGAAGCCTGCATCAACATACTTAATTTGCATACTTGATGCCAAGAGTTGACAAACAGCTTCATCATAACGAGACTCCTAAATGTAGGGCTGTAGGTCCTTTTACACCCCAATTAGCCCCATAACAGAAGCCCCATACCTTGAGGAACGGAGAGAAGACGACATTTCATTCAGAGTCAACTTTTAATAGAATGAAAGGGAGTCATTGATAAAACATACATAGACACATAAAACAAAATTATAGTACATTTAAAATCTCCTTTATTCAGAATATTTGTCAGAGGGATTCGCGATTCTTGCCACAGCTTTGTTTACCTCTTCTCAATAAGCCACCCCCCTCAGAAATTCTGGTACGTCTTTGTATTTATTATGTATTTTGTCTTTTTGATTCTGTACCTATCCTTTCTGTGCAAAATGCTGGAGGCACAATTTTTCAACATTCTTTATTTCTTACTCATTTATTTAAAATACTTCTCTGCTGCCTTTCTCCCCGAAAGGACCCAAGACGGCTGACATCACTAAAATGGGATTTAAAAGCTTAAACAGTAAGTATGCAAATATTGATAAAGAATTAAATGAGTATTATATTAAAATCGTAACGAAGATCAGTCTTAAAACACATTTAAAACAACAGCTGTATTAAAATGGTAACAAAGATCAATCTTAAAACACATTTAAAACAACAGACCACAACTGTCCATTTAAAACCTCTCTCAGGCCACCAGTCATTAAGGAAAAGGCTCTCTCAGACCAACCAGTCATTAAGGAAAAGCCTGCCTAAAGAGAAAAGTCTTTGCCTGCCTGCGGAAGGACAGTAAAGATGGGGCCAGCTGGGCCTCCAGTGGGAGGGAGTTCCAAAGTCTGGGAGCAGCCACCGAGAAGCCGGCTCTCCTGTGTTCCCACCAAGCACCTCTGTGAGGGTGGTAGAGAAAGGCCTCCCCTGATGAACCTAATGCCCGGACAGGCTCATAGACGGAGATGCAATCTTTGAAATAGCTTGGACCCAAGTCGTTCTTTGCATTGCACCCTAAACAGATCGGCAGCCAGTGGAGCTGTTGTAAGAAGGAGGCGACACATTCCCTGTAACCAGTGCCAGCTAACCATCTGGCTGTGGAATTTTGGACCCTCTGGAGTTTCCGAACACTTTCCAAAGGCTGCCCCACGTAGAGTGTGCTACAGTAGTCCAGCCAAGATGTAACTAAGGCATGGACAGATCAGACCTCACAAAGAATTGTAATTAAAAAAATAGTTCTAAACACTCTTCTAACAACCTATGAAGAAACCTTATAGGACAGCGAACTGACACAGGTGCAACAGGGAGGCCTGCTGTTCTAGGTTCGTGGACATCTTTTGACTTTGGAGAAGATGTAGCGCATCATGTCCTCTCGAAATGAGTGCTATGCAGGGCCGTCACAAACCACCGGTTTCACAGATGAAACTCCAGACAGAGAAGAGGACACAATTAACATGTTATGAGAAGCAGACCCGCTCTAAATGGAAAACGCTGCCCATTTTTAATTGCACACATTTTTTTAAAATCTGCCTTTGTTTTGTAATTGGCGATTCGAAGATTAACACAGCTTTACTTCCATGTCTGATTGCATGGGTGCATAGCTCTGAAAGATGTGTGTGACTGGAGGGACAACGTCATAAGGGAAGGAAGGTGACCTTTTCTTTAACAGGCAAGCTCCCTCTCGGAGTCAAGTCCCTTGCCCAATAAACACATATAAGACGCAGGTTGGGAGCAAGATTGTATACTCATTTCAGAAATACGTAGTGCTAGTTAAATAGGAAGTGTGGGAGACAGGAGAAAAAGCTTGCCTATCAGGGGAATTTTGGGAACTGTATTTCCTCCAATAGTTAACTTTCAAAAAAACCACCTCTGTTTTTCTAGTTATTGGAAAACACAAAATAAAAACTAGACCAAACGGGGTAAGCCAGTTATCTACACTGAGACTAGAACGAGTCAGAACAAAGAGAAATGAAAGTCTGGTTTTGAAGAAACAAACCCGTTTTTTCTCCTTGCTCAAATATTCAAGAGAGATAAGAAAGGATTTCTCAGGATATAATTTATTCAACGCATAAATTATGCATCTTTGGGCTTTCAAAAACCGATCTGAGGAAGGAACAACACCAGACGGTCAATTAACTAACAAAGTTGGGTGAAACATCAGCTGCTCCCATCTATTTTTCTTTCTTTACTTTTTTTACGCAAACAGAATATTTGCAAATTAAAAGTTCAATGTGAAAGAAAACAAAGGTACAGCCAGAACACGCTTTTGGGACCCTGAGATTCTTCACGTGTTTGTTAGCTCTGGAATTGACCAAATCTTTATTTCGTCATAATTGCAGCCCAGTTCTTTGGACGCAGGGAGTATAGCTTCCGAATCCTGTTGTGGTTTTACTCTAGAGTAATACAAACGGCCAGCTTTTGGCAGAGCTGAAGGAGGTGCTAAAAAGCAGAACCTCAAAAAAATCAAACCCCCTGTGAGGAAAAGTTGTAGAGTTTACACCCTTTTTTAAAAAACGCTCAGAAAGTGGGAAGATGAGTAAATGGGCAACACAACAGAAGTGTGTAAAAGAATAGCTCGTCTGTAGGAAAAGCATAAGGTGAGGTTTCTTTATTTCCTCCCTGATAAAAGTAGAATCCAGGGCTTTCCAAAGAAATGGGTTGGTTGGAAATTCAAGACACATAAGAAGCGAGACTTCTCCACAGAGAAATACAGTCCGGATGAAATTCGCCACCACAGTGATGGCTGCCATCTTGCGTGGCTCTGAAAAGCTACCATGGTGATGCAACCTTTCTCTGCCTACCATTCATGACTGATGTGTATCATCTCATCTCCATGTTAGAGAGAAGCATCCATGCCTTTCAATCAGCACCTTGCATAGTTCCAGACAGCTATGACCCAGGGGGTTAAAATTTAGAGGGTGCAAACATTGGCTTGAAGAAGGGACAAAGCACACTTATGGATATTTGCTGCAGGAAGGATGAGAATCTACCTGCCCAGAGGACATATAGCATTTGGGAGTTAGAAATCCTTTCCAACCTCCTGCATATATATTGCAAATGTTGATAGACTTTCTGCCCATCTTTCACCTTGCATAGTTCCAGACAGCTATGACCCAGGGGGTTAAAATTTAGAGGGTGCAAACATTGGCTTGAAGAAGGGACAAAGCACACTTATGGATATTTGCTGCAGGAAGGATGAGAATCTACCTGCCCAGAGGACATATAGCATTTGGGAGTTAGAAATCCTTTCCAACCTCCTGCATATATATAGATATATATTACAAATGTTGATAGACTTTCTGCCCATCTTTGGTGTAGTATGAACTATGTAGCAAAATATAATACTTCTGCGGCTAGGCAGACGTTCCCCCTGTATTCTCCAGAATGTCTTCTATCATTTCATCTCCGCACCTCCTCATGTCCTTTCACCCTCTGCTCTACTTCTCCCCAGTTGTGGTCGCATTTTGGAGCTCAACAGGAAGGCGAGAAGAGTGACACATGGAGGTTTCGTTTTCACACCTCTTCGTTGTCACCGGTAAGGCTAGTGAGTTTTCCGTCTCCCCAGCCCTCCCGCCCCCTGCCGTGCCCTGTGGTTTCTGATTTTTGCACTTCAAATTTCGCTTATTTAGCAAACAGGTGGAGGTGCCTCAGAAAAGCAGGCTTGCCAGAAGAAGAAGAAGATGATGAAAAAAAACCCTGAGGCTTGCCAACCCTGTTGGCAATACAGTGCATAAATAACATTGCTAGAGGAACAGACAAAAGTACTGATATTGTGTGTGACATTGTTAGGTTCAGTAATTGTGTTGGCCAAATAGATGTGGGAGCTGAGCTGGCATCTGGGCTTGGAGCAGAGTTTTGTTCCCATCTCTGTGTCAATGTTGTGCTGTCCATTGCGTGTCAGCTATCCAGACAGTACTACCTCCAGTGCACACCTAACTGGCCATGGGACTATAGCAAGCCAACCTGGTTGCAACATGCAGTAAGAAATTTTAATAGATCTGCATTTTGCTGCTACCCAAACTTATGCAATCTGTCATTGCTTTATACCCCAGTGCTTGAAATCAGGGTTAATATTCTAAGAATCATATTGAAAAGAGAGGCGGTCACGATAATACGAGATATGTTGGCCAATGACAGATACCTAAAGAAAGAGTAATAATAAAGATTTTTTGGGGGGTAGAGCCTTATGGCAGAACTCCAGTCGCTACCTTTTAAAAAGAACCTGTTCTGTTACTTTGGACCAACAGGAAAGAGTCCCTGATGCAAGACTAAAATGTAGTTGTTCCTTATTATCACTGTTATTTGCTACCTGTTAGCATCACCGGTGCAGCCATCAGAAAATCTGTGAAAAGAGTCACGGCTGCCCTCAAGTGGCTAATTCTGTTTAACGCACACTGAAATTACTGTGAACATAACAGGCCAAACCATCCTTGGCATTTTCTCCCCAAATAACTTTTGTGTCGGCAGCTTTGTTGTTTTGCCAGTAATGCTGAAGCAAAGCTGTCAAATTCACTGTTGTGACAAGAGACAAGAAATCGCAAGACAGACTTTTCAAAAGAAGAAGTATAAATTATGTATCAGTGACAGATAAAAGTATATAATCAGCTTGTTTGTGGATGCTTTTTCCCTTTTTGACTTTGGGACTTTCTCAGACCCATGGTGCATTTATTAAGTTATTCCATGCATCAATACAAAACAAAAAAGACCTGTTGGAGAACAGCTTTGTGGTTGATACTGTAAAAAAAAATTTTAAAAAAAGAGATTCACATGGAGGGAGATTGTTCATTGGGTTGTTTAATCCTGAGCACATTTTGACTCCCCTAAGTACTGAAAAAGCTGGGGAACCAAACCAAGTCCAGATCACAAAGGCCAAACCATCTACCAAAAGGAGGAGCACCGATTTGCATCGAACAACAGCTGCTGCTGTATATGTTCATTAGCAAAATTAGAAATGGGCCAGAAAATTGCAGGGGGGGAAAAACAGAATTCCATCTTCACCTGAAGGAGGAGGAGGACTTTACAAGATGACCTTTGTGGCTCAGGGCGCATCTCTATTGGGGACAATGAAAATGGCCCTCTTTATGGTTCTTTATCTTGAAATCACAATTGGAAAGGATGACCCTTCCAATAGAAGGCAGTTTCAAAATGAGTTATCTCCTCTGGCAACCCGGGTTCCTAGCACTTGGCCAACTAATTCACAAGGAAAAAGGTTTACGGGCTCATTAGCCATGAGCGGACTCTGGCCATCTATTCCTCACCTGATAATATTGCTCTCCAGCCTTGATGGCCACCTCAACAGAATCATCTGGCTCAAAGGGGACATAGGAGGTCCCTTCCTCAGGCCCCCAGCTCTTGCCCGTATGGGTTTTGCATGCTATCTATGGCGCCTAGTGTTCATCAAAGCGTGGATTGAAGTGGAAAGCAATGTCATCATTTGTGGTCCTTGAGATTAACTGCAAACCTGAAATGCAAGATGAAAGGAGCAGGTGAAGTGGAGAGGTCATGGTGAAATAATGGGGAAGGATATTTATACATACAGTAGCTCCACATAAGGGATGTAATACGGTGCTGGAGGAGAGCTTTGTGGATACCTTGGACTGCCAGAAAGATGAACAAGTGGGTCCTAGATCAAATCGAGCCTGAACTATCTTTGGAGGCAAAAAGATGAGGGTATCCTATTTGGGCACATCATAAAAAGTCAGGATTCTCTGGTAAAGACAATAATGCTAGGAAAAGTGGAAGGCAGCAGGAAAAGAAGACAAAAACATATATGAGATTTACTCCCTAAAGGAGTCCCCAGGTTTATGTTTACAAGAACTGACCAGAACAGTTGAGGACAGGACATTTTGGAGGACGTTCATTCATAGGGTCACCATAGGTCAGAGGTGATTTGACAGCACATAACACAATAAAGGGAGAGATAAGACAAACTCGAGTCAGACACAGAAAGGCAAAGCATAAGACCAGAAGAACAAGCATGGTGAATCCAACCAGACTTTGACCTCTGAACATTTTTACAGTTTCACCTAGAGTGCTTGGCAGCCACGTAGATCACACCTGGATCTCTTGAGATCCCATCCAGCATTCTAACCACTAGATCACTCGAATGACTCCAATTTGAACGCGCGCCCCCCCGAGGAGTGCTCAATTTGGTCCTTGAGCCAGATCCCACCCACCTGCCTCGCTTGCCTTCAACCCTGGAGGAGGAAAGACAGAAACGAATAAGGGCCAAGTTACTGGCGGAATCATGACATTAACGTTTTAAATGATTTTTATTCCAGTAAACACCGACCACCTTGTATCAGTTAAAGAGTGGCGGGATTAAACTGCAAGGGGAGAGAAGGCAACGTGTGCGGAAATAAATCCTGATTATTTTGCAGTCTTCTCCGTAGAGTCTTGGGGGGCCAAGGCTTTCATGACAGCTTCCAAAAAGCATAGGGGGGGGAAAAGATCCCTATTCTATTTTTTAAAAAGAAATCAGCTTCTGCCACCTTAACCTCTGTCACTTGCTCATGAGGGGGGGTGTTTCTCCCCTTCCACTAATCTCCTCTGATCTCATCCTTGGAGCAGATCTGACCCTTGTCTTGCCCTTTTGGGGGCTTCCTGCAAAAGTGAAACCAAAAGTATTTTGAAGAAGCCCGGGCTAGCCATGAAACATATTTCTTATTTTATTTATTGTTTCTACACAGGAAATGGGCGCAGCATGATTCTGGCGGCTGCTTTCCAACGCAGCCCGCCCGGGGAACGGCTTCTTCGCAGCTGAACGATGACAATCACACAACACGTCGCCGCTTTTATTATTTTATTTATTTATTTATTGAGAATGCACTCCGACTGTAAAAGCTGGACTCACAACGCGCATGCGCCCCCTCCACTAAAACCCGGGCTCACGACGCGCATGCGCGCCACGCTCCGCTAAATGGAGGCTTTTCCCTTCTCTGCTTCGAAGAGCAGGGAAGGAGGCGGAGTTAGAACGTAAGGGCCTGGGAGCGTCGCGGCCACGTGATCGGCCGTGGCGTCATGTGACCCCCCAAAAGGGAACGAGGCTACTTCCTGGTTCAGAGGCTTGCGGGTCTTTGCTGGGTAAAGGTAAGGGCAAAGCGAGAGGGGTTTCAAAACGACTTTGATTCTGTTTTTTAGTATTTTTTTAAATTTTGCCTTTATATTTTAGAGTGATATGGGTTTGATCTCTCTTTTTTTGGGTTTAAATATTACCTTTTCACCCTGGAAGCTACCTTTGTATACTCTGTTTTTAAGCTTTAAATACTGTCTTTTCATGATATCAGCCGCTTTGGGTCCTTTTTTCAGGAGAAAGGCAGGGCAAAAATATTTTAAATAAATAAGTAATATAGGAAGCAATTGCTCTCAGATTATGATTAATGGTACTGCTATTTAACTAGAAGAAGCTGTTCTCCAGGCCACCGTCCCCATCCTGAATATTCTTAGCCTTGCCTATTTAAGGCTGCAGAGTGGGGTCTGGTCTGTTTCTTGCAAGGGTTATTATGGGTTATTCTCCCTGGGCAATACCAGAGATTTTTGGGTGAATCTGGGAAGTGAGTCCTTCTTCAAACCTGGAGCACCGTTGTTATCAGTCAGTGTCAAAATACTGAATTCGGTGGACTAAATGTGTTACCCTACATTCTTGTTACATGATACTATTTTACAAAAAAATGCTTATTTTTTTATCTGTCACATGTCAGTCGTCATCTGTATGCCCAGGTTCTTATAAGATCACTCCATTTGAACTCAGTATTTCCTCTTCCAAATTCCCAACTCTTTAACTGCCTCTTTTCTTTCTTTAGGTGATGTGAAAATGACCACCCCAAGGGACAAAACGGTCGTTCAAGGAGAAGCCTCAGAGACTGATTCGGAGGAAGAGGTGTATCTCTCCTCTGTGCCCGAGCCTTCCTTCCCTAACCTTTCTGGGCTGAAAGTGGCTGGAGAGGCCTCGGAAACAGACGAGGAAGAAGAAGATGCATGTATCCGGGAGCCAAAAGGAGACCCAAACTTGATCAGCCCAGATTTGCCTCCACTGATTGTCTTCAGGAACGAGGATCTGGGGTCTCCCACGGCGGTTGAAGAGAAGCCTGCCCTCCGTCTCCGACACCGTGGGCGCTACAGCACCCTACTGCAGCAGAAGCTGATTGAGAGCAACGCCCGCTTGTACTATGACGTCAGCCACACGATCAAGCAGGTCTACCAGACAGCTGTCAAAGAGATCGGGACCATTACTGGGCAGCTTGCTAATTCCCAAAATGGCATCATTAACGCCTCGCACAACATCCGACTAGCTTTGGAGGACCTACGGTCAGTGGCTGACAAAATAGACATCATCACCAGCTGCAACCTTCTGCCTGATATCCAGATAGAACTACCTCCAGTTCATTACACCTAGTAGGCTATGGAATTATACCAAGGCAACCTGGTTGCAACATGCCATAAGAAACTGTGATACAGCTGACTTTTGCCCTCACCCCAAGCTTATGCAGTCTGTTCTTGCTTTAAACCACAGCACTTGAGATCAGGGTTACTATACTAATATTGTAATCATCTAAAATAAAGCTGCTTTTGATATGCATTTTTCTTCTTTGCCCCTTGATACCTGTTATATTTTCAGAGCAAATTGTTGTTGTTGTTGTTTAGTCGTTAAACTGCCCTCATAATTCTTGACCCACCCCTGCTCGTTTCCCTCCTGTCATGAAAAGGCTTCCGTTGAATCTTCATTAACAGAAGCTGCTAATGCTTTGTGAAATTGATCTCCCTAGCTTGCCCAGAAGACATTATATCTAAAAATGAGGTCTTTTATTTCCCCAGTGTGCCAAAAGAGTAACCAGAGATTATCTGAGTTTATTCATAGGTGCAATTTATTTGAAGATTATTTAAAATCACAGCAAACAGGGAATCAGATCCATTAAATATAAAAGAAACCCATGAAATATTTAAAAAAAATCAGAAGAAGATAAATGAATTTCTAATACAAAGCAAGGCAGTGATGAAATAAAAAGTGCAAGGCAAAACTATCTGGATTAAAATTTCAGATGCAATTTTAGTCATGCAAGATTAGCCACAGTTAGCCCTGTATCAAGCACTACATTAGCCCCTAACTTTCAAGCAGTTGTTAAAATAGCTCCAGTTATTTCCTTTCGGTCCCGAAAGAGGGAAATGCTCTGAGCTTCTTACATCTCTGGGGCTTCTTCAGATTGCCAGGATTCATCCGCATCTAGTGATAGAAATCAAGACAAACTTTTGAGTTGCACTGAGTTTTAAATCCTGATGCATAGAAACAATGCGAGAGGCACCAGTCCGATTGACACTGCATAATTGTATGTGTTTCTTATCACCTTCTCTCATATATTCCTGTCAAACAGCCCTGAGACCTCTACTCTGGTGAAAGTGCTGAGAACTACATGGGGGACCTCAGCCTGTCTTTTCAGCAAAGAAGGAACAGGCGCTTGAAAGCATCTGAGGACAAGACTTTCGGGAGAATTCGTATTCCTTGAGATTCACCACAAGTTCCAACACAGGGAATCTACTCATGGAAATGCACAGGCGAATCTTCTTTACTGGATCCGGCATGCCCTGAGGGGTGATGTGTAAGAAAAGGCCGGCACCGGGTGAATGGCCAGCAAGAATGGCCAGGAACTTCCAGACCGGAGGAGAAAGAGGAGAAATCAGACTGATGTGAACAAATGTGCCTGCTTCTGAACCGTGAATGGAAGAGGAACAGTATGAACATTAAATTTGACATAAAAGAGGGGAGGAAAGCGACTCACATCTGTATCCCACATACGGCAAAGTCTCCTGAGACGGATACCCTCCTTACAGTACAAGGAGGAAGACGGTGGCAGTAATTCAAGATATGCTGGCCACAGGCAGATACCTGGGGGAAATAAAAAGTTGAGAATAATTCTGAAGGAAAAGGAGATACCATTTCAGAGGAAAGCTTTATGGCAGAAATGAGATTGCTACCTTTTGAAAGGAACTTTTGGCAAGCAATGAAATAGTCAAGGTTTGATACCTCATGTGTGCAATAATGAAGTGAAGTCAAAACACTGTAGGACAAACGGACTGAGACCTTCAAATTATAATTGGACAGGTAGCAGAAATTGGCTGCTGCCTGGGACGATGCTCTTGAATGTCACCGGTAACCAGTACAGGAAAGCCAGGAATGGGGAGATGGAGTCAATTTTACTCACATCTGACACCAACCTGGCAGCTGCGTTCCGGATCTGGGTCGGTCTCAAGGGAAGCCTCACATAGACTGCATTACATTAGTCAAACTGAATGACTATTTTCCTTTTGTGGTTAAATTTTATAAACCTATATATCAGATTATCATGAACAGAGTTTACAATAATGTAATGCGAAGTTTAGATAAAACTGGCCTGTGTAATTCAATAGTGCCCTCATGCATTTATGTTAAAATATAAATGTAGGTTTTTCCTGAATTTGGAAAATGCAAATCAGAAATTATTTAGTATTTTTTTTCTATGTGTGTCTAAGTAATCTCAAAGGCTGAACAGTATTTACTTTAATATATTTTTATGTTTAACATATTCTGGTATATTTAGGAAGTAAAAGATCACTTCAAGTATGTATTTGTCTATAACTTACGTTCAGTGTTCATATATTTAAGCATTTGTGCCTACAATTTTTTTCAGAACTCTAAGACTTTTGGATTTTACAAAACTGATTTTATGCATATAAAACATAGAAAAAAATGTAGATAAATAAAGTTTTCAGGAGCAGACAAACTGAAAGTGCCTGGAATTATTGTAACAGTGAAAATGCTTATACTTTGATATTCAGATGAATATTAATATGATTATCTGAGATGGTTTGATTTCATGCTGGATTATCCCTTAATGGGATAATATAAATGATAAAGGCCAGCTGTAATGAAGACAGGCCTCTGATTCTTCCCTGGAGGTTTATGGAATTTCTGTAGGAGTCCTGGGGTAGTCAAGCGTCTTATCTAGGGATATGGCAAGACAGTCAGTGGTCATCATCACTGATACCTATTTGCAAGATTAATGTGCAATTGTTCCTTATTATCAGTGTTACTTCTCTCCCATTAGCATTGCATTTTGCAGTAATGAGGTGGAAGACTATTTGCTAGGTGGTTTTTCTGCCGGTGGCTCAGGGTGTATCTGCATTAGGGCAATTAAAACCTCCCTCTTTATAGTTCTTCATCTTTACATCAATAAGGGCACTTTCAAAGTGAGGACTCTCCTCTGGCAAACTTCATTCCTAGCACATGGCCGCTGTACACCCAGGAAAAAGCTTGGTATCCTTATTGGCTATGACTGGACTCAACCCATATATTCCCCATCGTTGGTGTTCTATTTTACAAAGAGAGTTTCTGCTGAGTAAAGCTACTAGAAGGTGGCAGGTGAAATTAAACAGGCAATTGACCTTCAGAAACGGTGAGCTTCTCTCAGCAGGCTCAATATAAAAGAAGGGAGGCTTTCGGCTGGCAAGAAAAACAACAGAAAGAAGAATATACAGTGGGGTCTCTACTTAAGAACTTAATCCGTATTGGAAGGTGGTTCTCAAGTTGAAAAGTTCTTATGTTGAATCTGCATTTCCCATAGGAATGCATTGAAAACCATTTAATCCGTATCTGCTCTTTTCCGTCCATAGAAACTACAGTGGAACCTCTACTTAAGAACTTAATCCGTTTTGGAATGGTGTTCTTAAGTTGAAACGTTCTTAAGTTGAAGCAAAATTTCCCATAGGAATGGACTGAAAACCAATTAATCCATTCCACAACAACAGAAAGAAGAATATACAGCCAGAACACTGCCTGATGTCGTAAAAGGAATCAGTGTGGATGTTTCCTTGTGGGTGAGAAAACAGCTAAACACTGTTGAGAGATTTATAAGCTCTGAAATTCCAGAGATTTCAAGCAACTAACTTAATTGCAACTGGAACAAGCAACGAGAATCAGTTGTACTTTGGGACAATGTAAATACTGTAGATATAACGCAAGTGTATTCCTTGAGAAAGAAATAATAGATTCACATGAATATAATGTGAATTGTAACCTCATCACTCACCTCATAGCGTGTCTGCTCAACCTTGATAGTAATCACAACATAGCAACCTGGTTGGAAGGGTACACATGAGGTCACTTCTTCACATCCCCAACAACCACATGTTTCTGTGTTGCATACAATGCATGGTGACTGGCATGGATTAAATCGTGGATTGAAGTGGAAGACAATGTCACCACTGCAGCTCAGAAGATCAATTCTGAAACTGAAATACAAGATGAAAGGAGAAGAGAGCAGGTGAAGCAGAGCGATAATGGTGAGGTACGAGGAAGGATATTTATCCTAGGCAGAGTTCCATGTAGGGAGGGGGGGCAGACTGGAGAGGTAAGATTAACAGAGTGGGACTTGGAAAGCAGGGCAAGGCTTAAGAGCGTGTAGAGTGAGGGCTGCAGCCTGGACCTCCCACAGTCTCTTGAGACGTTCTCCAAAACTGAATTGGGTCATTCATAAAAACTCCACCCACCTACTTCGCTTGCCTTAAAACCCTTGGAGGAGGAAAGAGGGTAACTAGTCGTAAGGGCAAAGGAATTGCTGGGATGGTTCACTTACTCAAGGAAGGGCAGAAGGAAAGGAAAGGAAAGGGGAAGGAAAGACCAACCGGTCAGCGCATGGCGAGATCGTCCCACAGACAGTAATGGTTTGCCCCGGGCAGAGCTGTGTGATGTCCTTGGTTGACCGATCACCCTGTGGAGGAGAATGTTTTAAAAGAACAGACATGAGCAAGCTATTGCTTCCAGAGTCTAGAAATGGTTTCAGAGAAGGAGCTGTGTTTCTTGGTTTCACTGACAACTAAAACAAAACAAAAGATCACAAATAATACAGAAACAAAAGCATTCCACATTGACAAATTTATTTCGGCGTGAGCTGTTGAGGACCATTGCCATTTCCAGTCGTTCCATTTCACCACACCTCTCCTCTCCCCACTATTTACCATGCCTAGAGCTGTGCCCAGGTATTATAAATCGTGTTGCACGTACGCCACATAATATAAACAGCGACTACAGGGGAACCGAGGAAGGAACCTCGTAGATACCCTTCTGGAAAGGCGCCTCTGTTAAGATGACCATCAAGGTCAAGGTGATATTTTGAACATGTGTCCCAAGAAGTGAGTTGTAATCAAACCAAGCTCGCTCTGAAATAAATTTGTCAGTATTAAAGGTGCTACATTACTTTTGTTCTAATTTCTTTGATATCCTGGATCCAACCCCAAACTTCAAAACAGTAAATTTTCTAAGTTGTGCTTTCTAATGAGCCTAGAGAAACCGAGATGCACATGTCAAAATTTGTGAAAATCATTCCCACCACCCATTTCTCCTGCAGGGCTAATGGAGAGCGTTTCTCCAGACATTGGAATTCGAGAAGGGAAGGAGGGCTTGGAATTTCTCCATTTGCTTAGAAGAGGTCGACGAATTGGTCTGGGCTAGTCTTATCAGATGAAAATTAAAGATAAAAATAAAGACAAAAACATTGTGGCAACTTGAAGACTAAATTAAGAATAAATTAAGGTCTTATTTTTTGGGGGGGGGGGAAACAGAGTACTCACCATGTTTGAACACATCTTCAATCTGCCTGGATAGGAGTTGGAGAACTTGGCTTCAGAGGACTTGAGAGTTGGAAATGCCTTCTGGTCCTTGGGTCTTCTGAGCATGGAACGCCAGTCTGCGCTTTTATACTTTTGCCAAAGTGAAAACGGAAGCTGAGGTTTTTTTTTAAAAAAAAAAACCTGACAGATTCCTCTTTTGGTTTTTCTGGTTTATGACCTCCATCCCTTCAGAGCTTTAGGTTCAAGTCAAGTTCAAGTTCATTGTATTAGCTAAAAGCCGTCACAATTGTTTAAAATACAAATATGATCAAATAAAATCATGATAGAATCACAGACATATAAAATAATAAGAGACCCTTCATATCTGGGAGTCTCCCGCACAATTGATCATGATGGCTTTCAGGAAATTAGCACAAATATTTCTGGCCGCTTTTGCAAACAGCGTTGTTCTGTATGTAACATATGGGTCACAGTCCGAAAGTAACCTGACCACCTTTATGTGGGGGCTTTCCTCCTGTAGAGCAGCCAAAATGTTACCCAGAAACTTTTCTCTAGGGTTTTGATAGAGCTGACAGTAGAGTAAATAGTGGACAACATCCTCTATTGCCGTTGGGGTACAAATACATCCTTAGATGTTTAGGGACATTCCTATACCTGCCGTTTAAGAGAGCAGTTAGGGACGTGGTGGCGCTGCGGGTTAAACCGCAGAAGCCTCTGTGCTGTGAGGTCTGTAGATCTTCAGCTGTAAGATCGAATCCACGCGGCGGAGTGAGCGCCCGTCGCTTGTCCCAGCTCCTGCTAACCTAGCGGTTCGAAAGCATGCAAATGCAAGTAGATAAATAGGGACCACCATGGTAGGAAGGTCACGGCGTTCCGTGTCTAGTCACACTGGCCACGTGACCACAGAAGATTGTCTGCAGACAAACGCTGGCTCTATCGCTTGGAAACGGGGATGAGCGCCGCCCCCTAGAGTCGAACACGACTGGACAAAAATTGTCAAGGAGAACCTTTACTTTTACCTAAGACAGCGGTTGGCATGGTTTGGAAACGGAGTTCTGTGAATGCGGTTCTCAAGGATGGAAAAGTAAGTGTTTGTAAATATTGCACCCTTGAGTGGTTTGTTTTCAGCAGATGGTACCACTGAGAGAAATTTGAAGAGTGGATTGAGGATAAGTCCTGGTCGTTATCCAATTTGTAGAACCAGTCCCTCAATATTCTTTTAACCCCAGAAAAAAACAAAAATATCTGTGGAGAGGGATTTAGATTTTAGTAGGGTTTGAACTGAAGGTTCCCAGTGGCCAGTCGTCCATCGATCTACCATGCAACGTTTAAGCAGAGGTTGCTCGGGCATATCCATCACCCTCTTGTAGTAAGAGAATATAGCTAGAGTTACCCTGGCTTTAATGGACACCATGCCCATCTCAGTTCTAAGATAAGCATCCAGAGTCCCCTGGGGTGCCGAGAGGATGTGTCTCAGAAATTTATTCTCTCTTACTCAAGATGGTGTAGGTTGTTCTGATTCATACCCCAGATCTCAATTCCATAAAGCATTTGAGTGATGACCCCCCACCCCGAAAAGACTGTTAAAGCTGGGATTACTAGTTTACCACCTTTAGAATGGAAAAATTTGACCAGAGCATGGCTAGATTTCTGAACTGATATATTCGTGTAGAGCTTTAGGTAAAATGCAGAGCTGGAGTCTTAAGTAAAATGAGCATCCATGAGAGAAAAGGATGAAGGTAAACGCTGCTTTTGCAAGTCCCTTCAAGGACAGGGTGATAGAGTAAATGGTCGTGGTAAAATAAACAGCATATACTCTTTGTTAATTATTTAGCTAGCCGACACAGGGAATTTAGAGAAGTCATGAGAAATTATAAGAGGAATGTACAAATAAGGGAGGTACCCTATTGTCAGTTAGAAGGACTGCAGGGGAAAAGGGAACCTATACCAAATAAGGATAGAAATAAATAAGAGTCTGGGGTCTAGGTAAAAAGAGGAGTGGGAGATGTCAACAAAGGCAGGACTTCCTGTGATCGGTTTAGACACACCGGATAGGCTGTACACCTTGGAGTACCTAGCCAATGGGGCAAACCAGGGAGGGACCATGAGGCCGGAGATAGGGGATGAATATCATGCTACCTGTGTTTTGCAAAAGTGCTTTTTAATAAAGGAGAGCTGCTTGTATTCGTGGTTGTCCAGTTACTGCATTAAGTAACTGGGGTGCGAGCCTTGCTTCCATCCAGAACTCATTTTATGTTTTGATATATATTTTTTTTCCTTTTAAAAGGATTTTTATTCAGCTCAATACAGAGCTCATTTTATCAGTAAAGGAGGGATAAACGGCAGGGTGCAAGAGAAGAAAAGACAATGTATATGGAAAGAAATCCTAGAAGATTCTTCTCATCGACTCCACAGAGGGAGCCTTGCAGGAGGAGAGCTTTGGTGGCAGCTTCCTAAGGGGTGGGGGGAAGACCCGTATTATTTTACCAAAATCAAGCAACTTCTGCCCTCTTAAAATCTGCTCTCGCCATCTTTAGTCAGCACATGTCCCCTGTTTTGAAATGAATCACATGGCTTGGTTTCTATTGTAATGGCCATGGCATCATTCTAGCTGCTGCTTTCCAACAAAGGTCACAGGAGAACTTTTTCACGGCTGAAGGAGGGAAGAATTATTGACCTAAATCACATTACCCAAGTTCCTTTTTCTGTAGAACAGTGTCAAAGGGGGGTCATGACCCTCAATGGGTGAAAACGTGTTTTCTGTAGGAGTTGCAGGTCACTTAATATGTGTTGTATCTTTTGTCAAATAACTTCTTCCTTGACCTTTCAGAGTGGGATATTAAAGTCGATGGACATGTTTATTAATGCGAAACAGACCCTTTAGAGAAGAAAGAAGTCCCTACTCTCTGAGAAGCAATGACTGGGGCTGCAAAGAAAGAAATGCCGACATAACGGTAGAAGTGCTTCTATGTCCACAAGAATGGGATTTTACCTCAAGGCTTGGTTCCACGAAGAACCTCTTAGGGTTGTATTTCGTTCTGGTTTAAAAAACAAAAAACAGTTTAAAATAAAGTGTCTCGATGACATAAAGAGAAGAACAGATTATTCCACCAGAGAAGCATGTTTTCTGGATGGAAAGTGATGAAAAATACACTTCCACCAAAGGGTCATTTATTTTAACCCCATTTGTCTCAACCATTTATTTCCACATATGTAAATGCTGCAAATTGTGCCTTTGCGTTGCCAGGGAAGATGGTGTGAGAGGCGGCCGCAACAACAATAGCAGCAGTCGGGAGAAGGAAAGAGGGACGGACAGGTGCAGGGAGCCCGAGAGAAAAGGGAGGACATGGCCAGCCATTCTGTCACAGCCATTTCTGGCTCCTGCTGTAGGCTGTCCCTTTAAGAAGACATTAGCAGCAAGAAGGAACTCATTACCACTTTTTGATACTGCAAAAAAAATGAATTGATTATCAAAAAAAAATATATTAGCATGTGCAGAAATGGACAGACTAACAAAGAGATTAAAAGGGCAAGAAAAATCAGCTTACTATGAAAGCTGGAACCTCTTCTATGAATAGGGGGAAACAAAAGCTTTGTAATAAATAGAAAGTAAATGACCAAAATGAATAATATGGAGCAATGCTGGGAAAATAAAATGTAGTTTTGTAAAAAAACAAAGAATATATTAGCAGCTTTGCCCAATGCTCGCCCTTTGCACTGGTCACTCATCCCTGTTATTGTGGTGAGGTTAGGGAGAGGGAGAGGGAGGGTCTGCTGGCAAAGTTCCTTGTCTGTTTAGAAAGCTTGGTTGCTTTCGTCTCTTTAAGAATGCTCCTGCTGTTCCTTGGGAGGTCGAGAGAAGCAGCATTTAGAAAAAGGCATAGGTGAGCCTGTCCCATCTTGAGACAGACCCTCCCTCTCCCTCAAGCCGCAAATGCAACCTCCTCAACCAAGATACAACACGGCTTAAAATGGATTAAAAGTTTTCCCTAGAGAGGATGCACACACTGACCCATAACACCACGTGGCTACCACATAATTTCTAAGTCAATTCTGTTTAGAACTGAGCTTACTGCAAGACAAATTTAAATGTAACCAAACCCTATGACACATCACTTCCAGAGAGCCTAAAGAATTGGGGGGGGGGGAAGAACCACACACACACACACAACAAACCCCAGAAGGGGGACATAAAAGCAAACATCTCGCCTCTTCTGCAGTGGGTGGAAGGAAAGCTTTGTGCCAGTTTCTGAGGGGGATCCTGTCTGGGTGAAGGGTTTGCCCCCTTCCTGGGTACCGCGATGCCCTTGCACCTCCCTGACCCATCTTTGAAGAGCTCTGCCTTCTCTTCTCCCCACCTGTAACCCTCCCCAGTTTTGAACGGGTGGCAGCAGAGTTGGCAAGAAGAACAGCAAGAGGTCAAGCCCCAGCAGCAGCGATGGGGGTGCCATGTCAGGAAACAACGATGATGGCCAATATATGCAAATATGATCAGGATCCACAGGTTACTTGGTTATTATAAAAGAGATTCACAACCTGGAAAAGCCAGGATCCACAGGTTACTTGGCTATTATAAAAGAGATTCACAACCTGGAAAAGGTTGGGAACCACTGCTCTAGAAGGAGTTCTGAAAATGGCTGGAACCAATCTCCCCCAGATCCACCCATCACCTCGCAACATCCATGTGCCACCCAGAAGCTGCTGTTTTTCCTCGCTTCATCTCATTAAAGATAAGGGAGAAGGTTACCAGAGGTGCCCTAAATGCACCTAACAAGGTAGGGCAGGTTATGATCCTGAGCAACATGTGTGCAAATTGATGTGGCCAGACCTCAAGATCTTGACCTGAGCCAACTCAGCCACTGCCTCTCATTTATGGGGGCCAGTTAAGATTGGCAGTTCTGTCTTCTTCTTTTTCCTTGGGGGGGGGGGAATGGGGGAATGTAAATGAGACTTCAAAAGAACTGAACACCAGACATGAGTCATACATTATTGCATGTGTGAAATACAGCTACACCCCATTTCCTCTTAAAGCCGGTCATGTTTTTATTTTTTTTATTTTTAAACAACTTGGGATACGGTAAGGATTACAAAAGGTAAAGAGGGATATGAGGGAAGAAAAAAGGTGGGGGAGGAGAACACAAATTTTACTGACATCCAATCTATTTCATGTTGCAACATCAACTTGACTTTCGGCTTTTCTTCTATTTGATTGCCCTCCAGGTTTTAAGTTACATTTACATTCTAGTTTTAATCTGTTTTTCAAGTACTATCTGGTGACTCAAACCATTTATATAATAAATCCCATCGTTCAGTTGCTTTTTGTATTGGACAGTCTTTCAACACTTCTTGTAAGATATCCATTTCTGCTGCTTCCCATATCTTCTCAATAAGTTCCTCTTGTTTCATTATCGCTGATTTCTTCCAATTCTTGGCATAAAGAATTCTGGCTGTGGTGACTATATATATATAACTAAATAGTTCTTTGTCTTACCTACATATTGTCTGGTATAATACTCAGTAGAAACCGTCCTGGGGTTAGTGGAACCTTACAAAGCAATAACAGAGTATGTACACCTATCCAAAATTGTTTCGCTATTCTGCAAGTCCACCACATATGATAAAAGCTTCCCTCGTATGCTTCACGCTTCCAGCAAACATTTGACATGTCTGTATAAATCTTTGATAATTTTTCCAGAGTCATATGCCACCTATAAAACATATTATATATATTCTCCTTGAAATTAACTGATTTTGTGAGCTTTATATTATTTCGCCATACAGTGGTGCCTTGCAAGACTATGTTAATTCGTTCCACAAAAATTACTGTTAAGCGAAAACATCGTCTTGCGAAACACGTTTTCCCATTGAAATGCATTGAAAACCTGATAATCCGTTCCAATGGGAACGGATTGTCATCGTAAAGCGAAAATTGCCATAGGAAACATCGTTAAGCGAAACGCAGTTCCCATGCGAAGACAGCCATCTAACAAAACAGAGACCATTAACAGACTCGTATAGCGAAGCAAGACCAAGCTGTCAAAAACATTGTAAAGCGAAAAACAGGGACCTAAAATTTAATCGTCTTGCGAGGCAAGGTCCCTAACATCGTAAAGCAAAAAGCGCCCATAGGAAGCGCAAGATCGCTCAGAAAACCTCATCGTAAAGCGAATTCGTCATCATGCAAAGCAATCGTCTTGCGAGGCACCACTGTATTTGCAATCATTGATCAATATCAATATTATGTCCTCTATTTTCTGCCCACCTAATCATACATTCTTTGACTATCTCATCTTGCATTTTAATTTCTAACAAATAACCATACATTTTCTTAATTACTTTATCTTTTGAACCCAGCAGAAGTTTATCAAATATTGTTTGTTCTGAGTAAAAACCCTCTATTTTATCTTTTCTATACCTAGAGTCCACTTGTGCTCTGGACCACCAGTCTATATATATATAGGTTTTCTATAGACCTTAACTCACAATCCATTTTTAATAAATCATGTTTTAGAAGTTTGAGACTTCAAAAGAACTGAATACAAGACATGAGTCATAAATTATTGCATGTGTGAAATACAACTACAGCCCATTTCCTCTTAAAGCCAGTCATGAATGTTTTATTGTGTGAACTCTCTTTCACCTCATAAGTCGTCCAAAAAAGCTCACATTAAAATATAAAACAGTTTGTCTTTAAAATGTCCCTACATTTTTGTCCCCCCCCCCTTTTTTTGGTTCTTTTCCTAAAACTACAGCCTCAAAATCTGTTATTGCCATTTCTTTTGTCAGTACCCATCTCCTATTCCAAAATGAGTTATATGGCTAATAAATGAACCGCAGTTTCTACACGGAATGGGTGCGGCATAGAGATGGGTGTGAATCAGAAAAAAACAAAGATTCGTTTTGATTCGTGATTCGTCAAGGTCAATCAACCCAGGGGCAACCTCTTCATGGTTGAAGAATGGGAGAACTAGTGACACACAACACATTGCCCAAGTTCCTTTTTCTCCAGACGTAGTTTTGAAATCGATTGTGACTGCCCTGGTTCTACCTGGTGTGGAGGCTTGCCAGGGAAGTTGGCATGCTAGCGATTGGCGAAGCTTCTGGTGAGCCCCTTCTCCTAACTCCTTGGAGACCCCCCCTGCTCACTCGGGGCCCCAGGGAGGCTAAAACTAAACAGGTTGTCGCTCCTGTTTGCAAGCCGACCCTGCAAGGTAGAAGATCTACAACCCACAGAAATGTTCAGAAGACGTCCAAGTGCAAAAGAGACTGGCTTTAGCACCAACGACCCCTTCAGCTGCCTGAATGAAAACACAGCGATACAATGTTATTGTTTTGATTGAAGTCATTTTAGCAAAGCATATAAATTCAAAAATAAGCTTAATGACTTCAAATCAGCGATGATGGTGTGAAGCCGTTCCATGATAATAATAATCAAAAATTAGTGTCCGAGATTCAGGCAGTTAGGAGATTGTCCCACATGAAATAATAAATGCTGTCTAGCCTCCAGCTATATTATTATTAATAATTGTTATTATAATATTATTATTATTATCAGCTATAATATTCTTGGAGTAGTGTCATTCCAGGGCAAAATCATGGCTCCGCATGAATGCAGGCACAGCTACATGTTGAAGCAAGCAAGCCAGCAGAAAGCTGCTGCCAGGGGTTGCTTAGCTGAACCATTGATCTAGCTGGCCTTCCATCCTATGTAAGC